AGTCCATGGAGACTCAGACTGCAAAGGAGTGGATCCATGATGTAATCCCACTACCACCTTGAACCCACCTGTCACTCCTGCTGCACATCTCAATACTGTCACACACTCATACTCTTGCATACTTCTCTGCCACTCCTGGCTTCTTCATGTGGTATCACAGTTCCACTCGTGGTACCTTATCATTTACTTTGTCTAAAACAACAAAGGAACAGTGCAACAGGTATAGCATATCACCCTTGTTCTTGAAAGTCGGTACCAGTAAATTTCTTCTTTATTTCTTAGGCATCTTCTCACTCTACCAGATTCTGTTAAACCATCTTGTTCAAAAGGCCACTGCCCTCTCTCCTAGACATCTCCATATTTCTACAGGTATGTCAGCTCGAACGACCATCTTTCCAATCTTCATCATCGTCATAGTTCACTAACTGTCCTCCATCTGTTTACTCTCTCATTTCTTCATTCATCACCTCCTCAAAGTATTCGCTCCATTTTCTCATCATGCTCCCCTCTTGTTAGTGAGGAAGACTTACTGCACAAGTAGACTTCTATATAAGTCAGTTTCTTCCTTCCTTAAATCCTTTCCTCTTTCCCCACAGGAGACAAGAGATAATTATTTTAGTAGTTTTTTGTTGATTTGATTCTTTTTCCAAATACTTCCCCTATGACTGAGCACACTGAAAACTCCATGTTTCAGTGTGGGTTGTAGCAGTTAATATTTAACTACTTTCCTACTTGCCCAATTTGCATGTATATGTCAGCGGAGGTTTTGACTGGAATCGTGGATTAAGTGAGTAAGCCTCATTTTAATATGAATGTTCTAAATACATACATAGTAGGTATACTGTTAGCTGTGATCATGGATACTTGCTACATTAGTCTTCAGTGTTGGGAAAACAATATCAATACTGCATCAGTACTTTATAAACCTTCTCAGACTTTGCACTCTGTATTGCTAATAGCATAGCGAAATAATTACAGTAAATGTGACAGATATAATCTCCCCAGAAGCACATGGGGTGTGCACCATGTTAAAAGATTAAAAGAGAACAAATCGTGTAACACTTAAAAAGTCTGCCTTTATGGTCACCACACCTGGATAACTTGAGCATGCTTTGTAGTACAGCTCTTATATGATCCCAATATGACTGTGAACACTAGATCTTTTCTCTTGGTGGTCAGTCTCCTTACCGGGTCTGGTGTGGCGCTGTTTGTTTTTTATGAAAGGAAAAATCCCTCCATTTGTCACTCATCTAGAGTATCACAATTGGTGTTGTACCCAGAAAGGGAAATTTCACCATCTTTGAAACATAAAATTGATTCCATTTGTGGGAGTTGCTGATCTGACCTTTTACACAAAACATATTTTTCTTCTTTGCCTGGAAAGACACTTATAGGCGATGTTGGCACCTGTCGTAAGCTTTGTTTACGGTTCAGAAAACCCCAATTTTTTTATCCAAGAAAGCATTTATTATCAGTATATTTTAAAGTATGCTGATCATATTGAATGAATAAGAATAAAGCGCAATTCAGTAGTTATGACTCATCATCTTGAGTGGTTCTGTTTTTTGTTTTTCTTGTTTTTGTTTTTGTGCTTGACCAAAGCTTTTTCTAGTGGTTGAACCCACAGGGTCTGCAGGACTTTTTTTCACAGGTGTGAAGTTCATCTTGGTTAAAACAGATGAGTGAGTGAGTTTGTTTTGCTGAAATCCCCCTTTATCATCTGGGAAGTCCATGTTTGTAGCGGGGACACCTGTTTTAAAAAAAACATGTTCACTTATGTCATTGTGAGAGTTTTTAGTGGCCTGCCAGGTTGCTGCATGATCTTTGAAGTCTGTGGTATTCTTCTCATATATGTTTTCACACATGGTTTTACCACATTTGCAAACTCTGTAAATCCACCTGTTCATAACATTCAAAAACATTGGTGAAAAATTCAGAAAGAACAAGGTTACTCGCATGTATTACTTGGATTTTACTTGTAAAAATTCACCCTTTTTAAAGCTGCGTAAGTTTGATGTTATGTTAAACACTATATGAGCATAAATCTGTACATTTATGATATTCTCTAAAAGATTTCATTAGGTTTGAACAGCAAACACTGGATTTTTATGTGTTCATGTCTTTTTGAAAGTCTTAATACACTTTAATATATATTTAACACTTGCCAATATACTGCCCTCTGGTGGTGGGTAGGTTCTTCATCTTTGCTCCTCAAGAATTACAATCCTACCCTACCATTAGTACAGGGGTGTCGAACTCCAGGCCTCAATGCCTGGTGTCCTGCAGATTTTAGGATCTCATCCTGGGTCAACACACCTGAATCAAATGATTAGTTCATTAACAGGCTTCTGGACAACTTCAAGACATGTTGAGGAGGCAATTCAGCCCTTTAAATCAGCTGTGTTGGATCAAAGCACATCTAAAGCCTGCAGAACACCAGCCCTCAAAGCCTGGACTTCGACACCTGTGTTTTTGTATATCCTAGTCGGAACTGCTATTTCAGCGACCTATTAATGGTAAAAGGCTGTTTCATTTCATAACTTAACATTAAAGTTTTAATGGGAACGACTGATTCTCCATCCAAGCAATATTTGATTACACATGCCATAAGACAATTATTAGACAATTATTCCTTAGAATCAGTGCTGGTATTTTTGATTATAGTAATATCTGGTTATTTTTTACTATAGTTTTACGGTTACTGGTTACAGTGGTTAGCACTGTTGCCTTACGGCAAGAGGGTCATTGGTTTAGGTCCACCATCTTGCCTGGTTTACTTATCACACTTTGATGACTTCACATGTAACATACTTTTACATATACATTTACAGTTACACAACAACAAAGAGATTGCCCCTTTATTTCAGAGGTTCAAGAAAATTGGAAAAATTAGATAACTGAAAATAAAATGTTCATTTCTAACACTTGGTTGAAAACACTTTGCTCACTCAATGACAGTCTGAAGTAATGAACTCATGGGCATCACCAGATGCTGTTTTGTTTTTTCTTTTTTAATGCTCTCTTCTTTTTTTTCTTTTTAAGCAAGCTTCACTCTAGCCTTTCTATTCTTGAGGCTTATGAGTGGCTTGCACCTTGAAGTGAACCCTCTGTATTTACATTCATGTAGCCTTCTCTTTATGAGGATATCGATACTCATACCTCCTGGAGAGGGTTGTTTGCTTGGTTGGCTGTTGTGAAGGGGTTTCTCCTCACCATGGAACTTATTCTGTGATCATCCACCACTGTTGTCTTCCATAGACTTTCAGGTCTTTTTCCGTTGGTGCGTTCACCGATGCTTTCTTTCTTTCTCAGAATTTACCAAACGGTAGATTTTGCCACTCCCAGTATTGTAGCAATTTCTCAGATAGCTTTTTGTCTTTTTTCACAGCTTAAGGATGACTTGTTTCACCTGCACAGAGAGCTCCTTTGACCACATGTTGTCTTTTTACAGCAAAATCTTCCAAATACGCCTCAAATCAACTCCAGGCTTTATATCTGCTTAATTAATAATGACATAACAAAAAAATTGCCCCCACCTGCCCATGAAATAGCCTTTGCGTCAACTCTACATTTATTTTTGGACATTTTAAAAAGGGGATGGCTACATATTAAGGATCTGGAACTCCTAAACCCTTCATCCAATTTGAATGTGGATACCCTGAAACAAAAGCTGAGAGTCTACAGAGTATGTCCATGTCCATTATGTAACTATAATTGGAATATGTTTCAGTAAACAGGTAAAAATAACTGAACTTGTGTCAGTGTCCAAATAGATATGGCCCTAACTGTATCTTCAGCAAACATTAGTCACATCTATAACCCAGTTTTGAGATCCCTTCCCAGACACCTTAACGCCCACTCACACCTCTGCCATTTGACCTCAAGGAAATCACATGATAGGGTGGGGCCAGGTTTCACAATGAGCTCAACCGAAACCCTGGCTGATTGTGACCCACACCTGTTTTCACACCTTGGCTCATGTGATTAGGTACAGGATCATCAGGGGGTCCTTTTGTCCCTCTGTTGGGGGGAAACTCCCACTGGGTTTAAATCTGGGACTCTCCACCATGTGACCTTAGAACTGAAGAAGCTTCTCGGATGAGAGGTGAAACGTCTTCAAGCAACTTAAAGAAGTCCAGATGCTTTTCTTTCCAAGCGCCTTAGAAAACATTAGTCACACTATGCCACTAGAAGCTATGCATGCCTACACATGGCATTGCCTTCATTGTGCTTTACAGGTTACGTAATGTAATTTGGATCATGAGCACTACTCTTTTATCTTCCTGCTGATCTTAGTTTCATGTCTACACACCTTTTATTTTTAGCTTTTTCTGTTCAGCTTGTCTGGCCAAAGGTGCTCAGTGGTCACCTAATGGGTCTCAGAGCCATGGTTCTTGTGTTGTCATGGGCACTTTTTCATTTTCACAAGATTTGCTTCCACTCCTAGAGTATTGCTCAGAGTTTTATGAAACTAGTATGGTTTGAACCTTGAAGAAGCCTGTGCAAGCCTCTGCTCTCTTGTACACAGTCTTGTCCAGAAGGTGTCGTTCTTTATCATGGAAAGATTTTGTGATCATCCATCACTGTTGTCTTCCATGAACACCCAGGACAACCTATTCATTTTACCAGTTCTCTCTTCTTCAGAGATATATTGATTTAGCTACTCCTAGTGTTCCAGCTGTCTTTTTGGATATAGCTGCAAGTGTGTCAAAGCTTGTTTGATCACATGTTGTTGTTTTACAGCTTCTGAATGCAAATGCAACGCTTGGATTAAACTTAAGCTCCTGGAAAATGTATCTTTACATTTCAGGAAGTGCCTCCAGAACCATGTCAGGTCAAAACATAGTAAACGGACTGGTTCTTTTATTTGTGATTTTCTACTCTACTCGAGCACTCAAAGCACTTTGAACAACATGCCTCATTAACCCATTCACATCCCGTCATACGAACACAAAAAACAACCAAAAAACATGGATAACATCAACACAATTTCTCTTCACTTTCTGTGAATTTCATTTATATTTATTTTTCTCAGTTAGTCCAGCACGTATAAAAAAGTAATTCTAAAAACTTGTAATTGGTATCAAACATTTAAACAATAAATATCTAAACATATAAACTATATCATAAATACAGTTTGATAGCACAGTTAGACACTGTCTTTATTAATATCAACCTGCCTTTTATATGAAGTTGACAAGAGAAAGTTACGACTTGTTAACTATACAATGGACTACTGCCAGAATGAAAAAAATGCCCATTTGCTAAAAAATAAAAAAAAAATAGAACACTTGTCTTTCAGTTCCTGCTACAAGCAGAGAATCTGTCCTTCATATAAACTAGGCACATCAAATAATATATGGTAATTAATTTGATATTTTCAGATGGTACAGTTGTTTTACAAAATAATTTATGTACTAAGGAAATTCATACACAGTATAAATGTCATTATTAAACTATTCTTTGAGAACTACAAAATGAATGAATAAATTAATTTTCCCTCTCACTGACTGAGGGTACGAAGTCCACAAGGTGGCAGCAGAGCAGCTTTCCTGATAGCTTGAGTGAGTTAACCACTTCAATATAAATAAATAATAAATAAGTTAAATATTTATCAGGCTGTAAGACGCAATCTTCGACGTGCTTGGCCCTTTACAAAGTAGTGTCTTCTCTAAAGTTGCTAATGGATCTTCAGCTCATCTCAGTTGATTCTGCTTAGACCCTAAAAATGGATGAAAATAAATACTTAATTTGCTGTACAAGCATCAATACATTTATGATCATATTAAAGAGCATAGCCTTTTTATTTTAAGCTTACTGTAAAAACAAAATGGTCTAGTATTTTATGTATAGCTTTCTGAAATATATCTGAAATAGCCTTACCCTTTGAACCAGAGACTCCAGTCTGTTGAAAAACTCTGATGCTTTTTCCTTAGGATGTGAGTGGCAGGTTGAGCAGTTGGTCTAAAAAGAAACAAAGAAGAAAGGAGTTTACTTAAATGGTCGTTTACTACAAGAGTCTGTGTACAAACTGAAAAAACAATAGTCACAATCAAGAAAAAAAAGCAATGCTGACTCATTTTTACTTACCGTAGAAGTTTCTGTGTTACAAAAGTTCAGTCCACTGATCTGCAATGATTGAAAGAAATATGCCAGTTTTAGAAATGCAGTGTACTAAAATGTTGACATTAGTCTTTAGAATAGGACTTAAGGTATATTATTATGTGAGTCCCACCCCAAACAATGTACTTACAGTAAGGGTATGATTAAGACTCTTGTAAAGTTTTTTCTGATATTTTCCACTTATGCCAAAATGTTGAAGCAGAGTCTCCCGAAAGCAAGTTAAGGCTGTCAGACAACAGCAGTCCTGTTACGAAAAGAAAAAGAAATGATGGTGAATATGACATCATGATTATCCCAGCTTACACACACACATATATATATGTCAGGGTTCCGGTTGGTCTTTTTAAATACATTTGCTTTTTTAAATGAGATATATCACACGGAGCACCATACAAAGGGAACACAACAGCTTGATGCACAGTTCTACTTCATTTACAGTTGGCTATGAAAATGAGTTTTCTTTGTTTCAATGTAAGGAAAAATATTGTTCCAAGAAAGCTATTGTTTGTAGTTTCATTTCATGACTTCATTGTAGTTGACTTTCCAATCTGATGCACACAAAAACATTTTTATACAAAATGAAACTGAACCAAACAGAGTTTCCACTATTTCAATGATAACTTTCTGTTAAGTGAAAGAGGGTTTTTTTTTTTTTTTTTTGTATGAATTGTTTCCCTCCAAAAATCTGGATGAAAATGCTGATGGTACAATGCAATTTTTCCCATGTGAAACACTTGTTTCTGTTTAGATACTCATTTTCCAGTGTGGTGTGACACCCGTGAACTCAGCCAGCTTGGGTCAAAGTTTTTTTGAGTATTTTATATCTGCCTAGCGAATTAGCCGTAATTTGTTTTGCTGCATTTAAAAATCAGAAATTCTGCTACAGTTATTGTTAAATCTTATCATTATTGCTACGGTTTAGTGTTGTGATCTCATTTTGAAACCATAATCTTTGTTTTGCAAAGCAAGATCAGATGCTTGGCAATCCTCATCATTCGCGGTGTGAGATAAACTGTAATTTGCAAGATGTTAAACAGAATATTGACTCAAAAGTTTTCTAGCATTCTGTCAAATGCTCAGTTTGAGAGGTGGCGTGAGGAAGTGTAATGGTTTTGTCTGCTCTCTGCTTGATTACTCATCACATTTCACTCAAAGGAAGCTGTGAGAAAATGAAAAAAATCCACTGAGCACACTCTTGAGTTGACTCACTGAATGAAAATGAATAAGCCTGACAAGAAAGAAGGCTGATTAGAATTTACTAGTAATGCAGTGCATCTTAATAAACATTTACAAGTCTAGTTATATAAAGGGTACATAATGAGACTATGTAGGATTTGACCACAAGAGCATTGCAAAACTTTACAAAATGTTTTTAGGTTTCATTGCTAAGATGTGCTATAGAGCCTTTAAAGTAAATATTGTCATTTCTATTTATAAATATTGAAATATATATGGCCTTTTTGAGGATTTCACCTTAGTCAAATCAACTCAGAAAAACAAAAATGCATGGTTTCATAGTGCAAGGTTTTAATAAATATTCTGTATAATAGTCGTATTTTTGTTTCTAATTAAACTAAGAAATGTATAATGTAGTTTTAATCCTGTCTAACACTTAATTATGTGGATTTTATTTTTGCTAAATTAAATTTTAAATGCTTACATTTTACTTTGTAAACGTTTTATGACAGTTCCTCTGCTCCTTAATATGACAGTCATTTATTTTTAAGTATTGTGATCAAAGAGTAGATGCGAAATTTAAATCTGGACCTTTATCCTTTAAGTTTCGAGTTTTACAGCTGCTTATCACCCTGCACATTTTGGTATTTCACACATCATTTGATGTACTCCTACAGTACCCGGCGCCTGACAAACTAACTACAGTAAGTGGGAGCATAACAACAATGAGTAAGCAACCACCAATATTTATCGTAGTGGTGACCATACGGTCTGCATTATTTTAGATTAAAGTAGTTTTGCTTACCTCAATATCCTTTGGTGGAGTATTCATCATGAGTTCTGTGTTCTGCAAAAGGAAGTCAAAAAAGATTGCATTAGGTAATGAAAGTTAGTTTGCTAGAAAGCAAGTTGTGAAATGCAGTTAAAGCAGTTAAAAAGTTGATGTAGATGAACTAACCGGAAAGTCGCGTTTGAGCATTTTCAGCTCTCTAAGGACTTCTTGTAGTTTTTTGCGCTCCATGGGAGATGCTTTGACCAAAGAGCAACAGTAGATTGTGAAAAGGCAAAAAACAATCAGCTTCATATTGTTAAGTGTCAGCAGCAGGCACCGATTCACCAAAAGACGCTTTACCCAAGTTTTACTGGAAATGCAGATACTTGTGTCGCTTACCTTTTTATACTTATCCCTGAGGACACAGGAAAACCACTTTTACAGAGTTGGAAAACTGCAGAAACTAGTGTGTGAGTAATGAAATTTTCTTTTCCACTGGCAGTCACCACTACGTGATCCGAAACTGGCGTCAAGCCGCGCGTGCGTGGGGCCTATAGATACTAGTGTGTGAATGTAAACTCGTTTGAGTGCACCCGACTCACCCGGAAACTAGAGGAACGGCGACGACACTTCCCATTTTCACTTTGAATCAGTGGAGCCAAAGCTTGTACCGTGTCATAGGTATTCTTTGTAGGTGTGGTATTGACAACCTGAATGCATTCACTGCATTGTGGCCACCTACACGGACAAATATCTTCGGCAACAACAGGAAACCCTTTGTAAGAGTTAATGTTTTACCAAAGAGACATGAAAAAAACCCCAAAAAAACATCTGTGTGTGTGTGTGTGTATAGAGACACACACACACACACACACACACACACACACACACGTGCATATATATGTGTGTGTGTATATATATATGTTGTATTTTCATAGTGCATAAGGAAGTAAGCTAATATTGGAGTAACATTTGCGGAGTAGTTCTTTATGCTGCTATTTCACTCTTTTGTCTCTTACACATTTCTTTGTCCACTTGCAAGATCAAGGAAACGTACAGCGGCTTAAGAGGGTCTGCTTATGAAATGCCTTGAAACAGTTGCATGTGTCATTATGGAGCGGGCTGACAGCGTCACGTCATTTCAAAAGGATGACACATGCTGTTACAGACTCACAGATTAATGATGGTCTGCAGGGGGAAAAAAAGAGGTTTTCTAAAGAAATGTTGTCATGTTGTAATTACATTGTAATTATTTGATAATCAACTATTTTTGTAGGTGAGGCGGTTAGGCATCTGGTCGTTCCTAGGTGTTCATTATTATCAGTAACTCTCAAGGCACATCCAAAACTGGTTGAAAAGATTGTGTCTGTTCTTTCTTCAAATAACTCAACAGCTTAGTTGCTGCCACTTTTGGTGAGCAACAGATCAACAGTTCAGTTTTATCCATATGTGTATATATAGTAAAATGCATATATTAAAAAAAAATATTACAACAGCTATGAGGAGTATAGGTAATTGCTATTGGATTGCCTGTCTTTTCTTTTGTGTTTTTGTTAGTTCAAATTAATATATTTTTTTTGTACTAAAAATACACATGTAAGAAAATTGCAATGAAAAATGAAGATTCTCCAAGGATAAGCAACACCACATATTACTTATATTTAGTTTTTTATTGTCACATGTGTAAAAACTGAATAGCTTGTAAAAGTGATTGAATAAACACTCGATTCTGGTTAACTTAAACAAGATGTTTATGAATGCCGAATTAAGGGTTAAAATTACTATTTTCTTTCACTTTCAGGTTTATTGTCTGTAGTTTAACTCGCACTGGCACGAAAGCACTTCTGTATATTGGGAATTTTTGTATGTTTTGCTTATGTCAAACACATTATGTCAGTCATCTGATGCATTGGTTCACCACAGTGAGAGAAAACAGCAGTCATATTTCTCACTTTTATTTGTAGAAGTTGCATAGGTCTGTATAACCTTCTACTTCAGAAAGATCGACAAAGCCCGTGCTCAGCTTTGCTTGACTTGACTGTTGACTGTTTGTCAGGAATTATCATTGATTGCATTGTTTGTATGGTTGTGTTTGTGTTGTGCTGACATGATGTTAGACATGTCAATCATCATCACTGGGATGCAGTTTAAAAAATAAAAGCTTTACACACCTTTGCCTCTGTATCATTTCATGCTCTGTTGCCACTTTGACTACATTGTTTTGTCCATCACAGTCACAAACTTGGTATTAAGGTAACATTGTCACCATGTTGGCTGCATGAAACAACATGCAACTTTCTATTAATATTGCATAATTAAGCACCCATGCTATTGGATTTTCATGGCACTGTCCTCATGAATTCTCCTTCATATTTTTAACTTTCTAAATAATTTGGTCAAGAGAAAGAGTTTTCCTTTTTTGACTCCTGACACACTGTTTTTAATGAGAAAGGATGAGGATGAGGAGATGTGAAATTTTGACAATCTGAATTATATCCCATATTATATCTCATTGTCTGTGAGTTCAATTGAATGTCAATGCCAAATGTAAATAAAGTCTCCTTTATGCTTTCACTGAAATGGGACTTTTCATTGGGCAGTTTTAAAAGATAATGACTAAAATCCGCTTCTGAGGTCATTGTGTTTAAAAGACAAAGACATAGTCGATGAGCTCAATTTTTATTACAATAGATTGTTGTTGTTGTTTATTATTATTATTATGACAACCAATCTTTAATCACAGTTATATTTTAGCCATAGGAAACCTTTTATGGAAATATCACTGCATATTTAATGATGGTCATCTACTCCACTTCACAACTTACACATTTTGGAATTTCAGATTGTATCATAGGTTAGTCAGTATGTCCATGTTCATGCTACCTCAGTCTTTCTGCCCCGTCAGTGGTAGTGCACAAGTTCTCTCCATACACACAATCTTTACAACAATCTACGGCAACCAGAAGAGAGGAAGTGAGAGTGAAAGAGAAAACCCCTCTCGTCTGTTTTCTCTCTTCGTCAGCGTAAGGGAACAGGTGGGTGGGGGCTCCGACTGGTCTAAGAGGTGCATCACCCTCAGCGTCTTATCAGGAGTACCTTCTGTAATGCGCACACAGAAAGGAAAAAGTGTCCTCAGGTAGATTCAAAATTCAAAAGAATTTCCTCATCTGGCCACCACCAGAGAATCCCTCCTAACCCACCTGTGGTGTGCTGGTTTGTGTTTTACGTCTAAGTCTTACAAAGCATGTTGACATGAGGAATTCATAAAACCTTTCCTCCCCCATTATAGAGATTAGTGGAGGAGATAAGGGACAATGCCCTTATCATTAAAGAAATGCAGTGGAAATAAAGGTGCAAGATTGTTCAAGGTGTTACATAAGCATAAGGATGTATCATTTACATTTCATAGCTCTTAGCTTCTTTTTCCATTTGCAGGTCCAACAACGGTCTTTGTGCATCATTTTCCCCATTTTTTTGTCAAATAGCTTATTTAAGTTGTAAAAAAAACTCCAAAATGTTTATTAATGATTAAATAATAAACCAGTAATAGGAAAATCCTCTCAAGAAGTGAAAATCTACCTCATTTTTACTTTACATTTTTACATTAATACTTTATCTGGATTAATGTCATACGTATTAATTGATTCACCAGTTTTCAATTCCAATCAGAAACAATAATCTTAAAAAAATACCTCTAAAAATTAAAAGTTGTGTTTAGTCATTCTGATTAAACGGACAGCCAGGGAGAAAAAAGCTGTTACATATTATTCATTACAAATATGAGTAAATTAAAGACGAACAGAAGAAATTACCCAGTGCAATTCTATTATTTTTGTATCTAATGCATGTAAAATGGTAAATGTGGTGATGTCGTCTAACAAAAATGAAGGTCCCAGTTTGAGACTGACTATCCCCTTGCAAGCTCACTTTAAACGGTTATTCTGGCAGTTAAGTCTGCTGGGCTAGAAGCCAGTTTTTTTCAGTTTAACCAGGATATCCATGCAACAGATATCCTGTTCAACACTTCCTTTCTGCATACTGGTTAAAAGCTAATAGAAAACTAGTCAGACTACAGCCAGTGGTTTCAAATTATTGTTCCTTTTTTTGGTTCCCACATGCATCTATTACCTACATGGCCATTTGATCTCACACTACAAGTACACCACAAAACCTTGGATGACAAAAATATTGGCATTTGTGTATCGATTGATAATGAAATTAAGACAACTTGTTTCCTGGTACAACGTACTTGTTATGCCCACTTGAACCAATAAAAGAGTAGCGTAGGGAATAGTCTGGGGAATTTACAGCTAGTTAATGGTCATCGATTAAATGTAATTTTATTTATATAGCACCAAGTCACAATAGCAACTTTATATTGTAAGATAAGGACGCTACAGTAATACAGGAAAAAAACAACAACATTAAGACAACACACTATGAGCAAGCAATTGGCAAAAGTTGATGCATAACAATAGACATCTAGCTTTCAACCTGACCAGATTCTCACAAAATTGTATGTGTGAGGGAAACTTTGAAATTCTACTTTGTCTTCTGAGGCACCTCACCAATACAGCAGAGGCACTGCACTTAATTTCAAAGCATCACAAGAGTTAGTTGGATTAGTTGTACTGTAGTTACTCATTCAAACTGACATAAAACTAACATTAATTGATCTATGCGACTATGAAAAAAGGCCATCAATTAAAACTTTTTAAAACTAGTTGAAAGTGAAATGTTATCGTCAGATATCTAGAACTAACATCTCAAGCTTTTTCCAGGGAACTTTGCAAAACAATGCTCTACTGACACATGTTTTTTCAATGATGACTAACAGTCTTGGTCAGACGTGACATGCCACACTGAGAAATGTTCTTTGTGGTCAGCCAGAGTGTTAAACACATTGACAAAAAAGTGCGGCTTGTTTCAAGTCGCGCTTTGTCTTCAACGACGTAGCCGAATGTCTACAAGAGCATACAGAGCAGCATACGTATTTACCTTGGTGCAGTAATGACATCTCACTAATGGATACAAAACTCTTAAAATTACATTAGTTTATTGTTATTAATATAACAATAGTTAGAATGTCTTGGTATCGATAGGTAAGCTGGATTAACGTCACTTTAGTGTAAACTGACATTGAGAGCTTGAGATGTCACAGAATGAATAAATATTTTAATCTGTGTTACTTAAATGACATCATATTAGGAGACTGATTTAACAGTTGTATCTGCAATGCATTAGATGTGTGTACAAGTTATGCTTATGTGCCTTTTTCTTACTTTACACTGAAAATAAAGAATAAATAACATTTGTTGTATTTTTTTCTTTTACAGTTTATTGAAGTTGGTTAAGAGTAGACCCCCGTTCATTTTTCTAAACACCATTTTTGCCACGAGTTATCAGTGTGAGGTGACTTAAAACCAGATGTCAATCAAAAGTAAATGTTTGATTTTTTTTGTCAACAAATGATTTGTCTATTTTTCTGCTACTGTATTTCATTATTACGTAGCTCGGCCACAGTTGTTGCTCATCAGTATCATAATTTGTTTTTGTTTTGACTTGATATTGCTTGCTCAAACCGTAAATGACAGCTTTGTTTTGTTTTTGTTTATTGCACGTGTACCTCTTCTTATGCATACAATAAATAAAATACGTGTCTAATACGTGCTCTTCTAATGTGAATTCATCTAATTATGGTTTCAGTATGGGTGGCATGGCCTAAAAACAAAATGTAAGATGTGTTCTTTGTCTCTTCAGGGAGTTTAAATGAAAGTTAAAAGGATCTTCATGAATTCACCATGTGTTTGCACTTCAAGCATTTGACACTGTGAGGCAGATTTATTTACTTCTTCTTGATAATGTAGTTGACTTCCTACTCCCACTTGCAGTAGTATGATTTCCTACACTGTGGTCTCCCCTTTGTGAACAGTTTGCATTGCCGTGGTGCGGAGAGAGTAGGCGCGAGGTTGAAAGTTTGCATGAAACACACGCATCTTGGCATTTTTTAAGTAAGTGTGTATGTTTTTTAATTAAAATGCTGACTGAGAGAAACATGATGACTTTTTTTGTTTTAGATGCAAGGACAAATGAAGGAGATTATCAATGATTATGAAATGTGAGCATGCTCATTACCGTAAGTGTACAGGAAGATACAAAGCTGCCGTGGGTGGGGGATTGCCTCTTCTGGTCTTGTTCATTGCTATGACAAAAGGGATGACACAGCTTGTTTACAAGGCTTGTTTATATTGTTTATTGTTCAGAGTCATCATTAGTGCATTCAAAGATGATACCAGCTGCTATTTGTAATATCAAAATGTAGATTTCGGCTCCTGTTGACACTGTCATCGGGTAAATAAGCAATCACAGATGAAGTTTGATAAATGAAGCATAACGAAACAAGCTTACAAGGCCAGTGGTAAATCAGCAAGCCGGAATTTACCATCGGCAAGATGCTGATGAAATTAGCCTGCAGCGCATTAGAGTTCAGTATGGTAACCCACAAAGTTGATTGGAAGTTTTCTCGTATAAAATGTGAGGAATTTCATATATTGATTCCAGTAGACAGGAAAGCTAAACTATTTTTCTTTTTTCCTTCTGAGTGTGACCAGATCGCACAAAAAGTGCTCAATACAGTGACTTATCTGATAATCTCATAAAAGCTTTAAAATAAAAAACTGCATAACGAGCTGTTTTTTAATTATCTTGTGACAGCAGTTTCTGTTATCAGAACCAGAATGAAGAGTTTAACTTTGGTTTCTTTGGCCTACACATAAAGAGAGTCTCTCACGCATAGCCGGCTAATTTTGTAGGAGTTTGGTCAGCAGCTGCAAAGTAGGTTCCCACACTTTATCAGCTTGAAATAGCCTAGGAATAACTTGCCTGATGGTAAATACTAGTTAAGAACACACAATAAACAGGTATAAACAAGCTGAAAGTGCACATTAAATGCTAAAAATTGTGACAGCATCGTTGGAGACACAAAATATTCACATGTTCATCGAGCATTTTAGAACTAAAGTATTTGACATCTTTATGATTCAAACAGTTCAACTTTAGAAATATTTTCCTTGCATTTCCACTCCCGTGTACCAATTTTTTAATTAAAAAAAAATAAAAATATTAATGTTTTCTGTGTGAAATCTGCAATTTTCACACTTTGCAAAGTCATCCCAATGGTTGGCCCAACCCTGCTTATTATTTTATGAAAATAAACAATTCTGCACAGTCATTTACTCAGAAAAGGATGGAAAGTGGGTTATTCAAAATGTTTTGTTTTCACAAACCTGCATAAATCGGGTCACCGTGACTGATCTGACAAAAGACATATAGGAAAACTAATGAAAAGGAGCCAACGTGACCTATTTTTTTGTTATTTTGTGGAAAGAAGCAGTATTTAACCAAAGAACTAGAACTAAATTCTGAAACCATGTTCTTTGCTGCTGGCACAGTGGGGATGCAAGACAATGCCGTTTACCAAACCTGCTTGTGCGTGCCATTTGTCAACCAAGGTTTTCTCTTCTACAGTAGAACACACCTGACCTACTCATATGTTCAAAGGTAAGTGGTTAAGGGGTGGCAACGCATCTCCACACAAACCCCGAGCATTAAAATGCAGGGCATGTGTGGGAGTCAGGTGTGCAATCTTAAGATCTGAACTATAGGTTTTCTCTGTTGCAACATCTTGAAGGTCATCATAGCCTTTACATTGATTTCTATGCAAGTTTTCTTCTTAACTGTACTTGACTAAATACAAATAGGACTAAATAGTACCTTAAATAATACAAGAACTACAATGTGTCTCCACTGTACAAAATACTGATAAACTGAAAACTGACATTGCTCTTTTTAAGGGTAATTTTATAACTAATACCACATCACCATAGCAGTAGATTGTAAATAATAGAATGTCTAATATTGCAAAAACTAAACATATCTTTAGATAAATAGCTGAAGCTTTAAAAAGCCAACATACCACTGCTGCAGTCACCCGTCAGTTCTTCTAAGCACAATGACAGTTATTACTTTGTCTTGAGTTTATCTTACTCAAAGGGGGCTTGCGAGACAGCTTTCCTACATAATGGTGACACATTCTTGACCTTTAAGAGTTAATGCGATTGACTTTTACCAGCAACGACCAGACTTAAAAGGTTTAGCTGTTTTGGAAATTGATCATTTGAAGGGAAGAGAAAAACAACAAGCGGAGCAGTGGGAGTACAGAACAGGCCATGAGCTGTGAATACTGTTTAACCACAACAGTAGGGGAATAACACTCAGCTGAGGGGCCGTGAAGATATTAAGGCCTTGAAACTGACACTGTTGCAAAACATCAAACTCCAATTGGAAAGTTTTGTTCTAAAATCAAACATCCACTGTCTGAACACCTACACTTCCAAACTAGGTTGCTCCCTGCAGGTAAAGTACCCTCTTTCTTTTATGCCGTTATTAAAGTGATGAGTCTAACTGCTGGAAGAAATTTAAAATAACCTTTAAACTCAACTCTAAATATGACACAAAAACCTTTTATGCTGGCGGAGAGCAGTATACGGTGTTATAAAAGTAGACACCCCACCTCCCATATACATTTAGAGAATGCTTCAAAACAGCAGCCTAAATGTCGATACTTGTGCCTGGACACGTATGAAAATGGCTACCAGGTGACGAGACGTGCCCCCAGAATGACGTTTGGTGTTCACTTGTAGTTTCCTAATAAAACTGTTGAGCAAACAAAGCAAGACGAGGGTGTTTGAGGCCACGTTATCCTTTTGGATATCCGTTTTTCCTTTCTTTTCCTGAAAAACAGCTTTCAAATTATTATATTCTTCAAGGAGGGAGAATAGAGGTTGTCTGCTGGAGTAAAGACAGCTCATGTTGTTTTTCAGGTGGTCAAGTCTTCATTTGCACAGATTTCATAGCAAGTTACTCCACAACTAAACAGATAGATTTAATTTCAAGTCTTTTGTCATCTCTTCCTTCTCTCACCCCAACTGGTCATGGCCGCCCCTCCCTGAGCCTGGTTCTGCCCGAGGCTTCTTCCTGTTAAAAGGGAGTTTTTCCTTGGGAGTCATGTGATTGGTGGAGTTTCTCTATATTATTGTAGGGTCTTTGCCTTACAATTGAAAGCTCTTTGAAATCAAATCACTGTTCTTGTGATTTGACACTTTAAAATTAAAACTGAATTGACTTGACAGCCATTGTAAATTCTGCCTTTGTAAAGCTTTCTAAACTCTTAATGTTATTGCATTGTATAAAGAGGAAGGTACTCTGTAGCCTTTAAGGATTCCTGGTCTCAATCTCCTTGTTGTCTTGGGCCTTTCTGTCTGGAGTTTGTGAATGCACAGATTTTATCCCCAAGTCCAATATCATGCGTGCTAGGGTAACTGGTGACCCTAAATCATGTGTAGGTGTTAGGCAGATGAAGCGCTGTATAAATGTATGGTTAAGTGCTGTTTTTACTTTCAATTGCTTTAAATCGTCATTAAGACTAGAAAACATGTGAATGCCAGTCCACTAATCATGGAACCAAAGAGCAGTCTTCTACTGTGGATGTAATTTATTTGGGCCATACATGCAGTAACTGTTTGTGTAAACACAAAGCGAGTTCTGGTACTGTTTTCAGCTCTCACCTGGTGTGTGGTGTGCTTTGAACTCCAAGAAGGTGGATGGATTTGAGTCAGAGAGGGTTACATATAATGAGCCTTTGAAATACTGGCCTTTTGATTTGCCTCATCTGTATCAATTCCAAGTTTCACATCAAGACCTAAACAAAATGAAAGAAATCCATAAAAAAATCCCATATTCTGGCATTTTAAGCTGCTCCAAAACAAATATAAAAATATCTCTGTTAAACATCGGACTTGCTTGTAAATGTATCTCAATAGAAGTTCTTTTTTAACATGCATCTTAACCTCCTAAGACCCGAACGCTTCCACAGTATGCATTTTTAATTTCTCTTTGACATTTGGGCATATTGGGGCCTGATGAATGTAAAAACAAAGAATTACCAGATTTTTTTTTTTTTACCTTATTTTTGTTTTTAAGAAGAATGAGAGCCACGTATGAGGATACTCGTTTAAAATTTTGATAGAACAGTAGCAGTATAATGTCCTCGTAAGTGGATATCAGGCTATGTAGGGCAAAATTGAGTATTTTGGTCCATATATGTGATGTCCACATATGTGGACGCCAGGTCCTAGGAGGTTAATGTTAATAACTGTTTAAATCTTCAGAATGTAGCTCTCAAAAGTTCTTCGTATGTGTTTTCGCTTTTTGTGCATTGAAAACTCTTATTGCGTGGAATATTTTTCAAAAAATGGATATCTCATCTTGGGAGAAACCTTTTCATATTTTCCACCCCGATGTTCCTTCGCCGTCTAGAACAGGTTATCACAACTTTCACAATCACTGGCAAGCATCCTCAAAATAATACACAGCCGTCTGATGGTTCGGAAAAATACGTCACTACAGTATCCTGTTTATTTTAACAAGGTTCGGTGTTTTGGCCAAAACCAGACTTCCGCCGTATATGACAATTAATCAGGGGGAGAATCTTTCCTATAAGATGATCAAATCTGTAGGCAGGACATCACTCTGCTGCATGTTTTCTACAAATTAACTTTATTCTGTAACTCGAAGCAAGAAGTGAGAGTGACTTTTACTGAGTTACTCATCTCAAGTTCACGCTTGTCATTTCTGTCTACAGTAAAATAATTCAGGTTAGTCAACATCAACTTAGTCATATGACTTTCACTGTCTGAAACATTATTGGCATGTTGTGCTTTGCAGGATGCACTGCAGCTTATTACTGCACTGTATCGAAATCACCTTCAGTGAGATTTTCAAAACCATCGCTCTTCTATTTCTGCAGATTAGCAGCCTTGAGTCTGAAAACATAACTATAACCAGGAGATGCATTGTACATGCATCTCAAAAAATTAGAAAACTGCGAAAAAACTCAATATTTTCCATCAGATATTTATGGAAGTTAAAAAATCTTTACATATTTTAGACTCTAGACTATTTTTCTGTTGTAATATTGACAGACATGACATGTTGCTCAAAAAAACGGTTGAGTAAATTTCTACAAATCAAATTCAGTACATGCAAAAATATGTGGAAGATTGCTAATTTGGCATTTGTCCAGTTGTCATCATCACCTTCCACAAAGACGGTAAGCAAGAAAATGCCATTGCAGTTTGCAGAGTGCTGTTGAAACACATTAATGGAAAGTTGGCTGGAATGGAAAAGTGTGGTAATAAAAAGTGCACAAACAACAAGAATGCCTGCAGTCTTTGCAGGACTGTTATTAAACGCTGATTAAAAAACTTGGAAGCGCTTCGCAAGGAGCGGACTGAAGCTGGTGTCAGTACATCAACAAGCACGATGCACAAATATTTTGAGCAAAGGGGCTGCAGTCCTGATATCACAGCCACTCCTGAACCAGCAGCAGAACTGTAATACTTGTGCTGAGGAGAGAGAGAACTGGGCTGTTGCTCAGTGGTCCAAAGTCCCCTTTTCACGTCAATTTTTGCATTTGGAATCCAGAGTGTCAAAGATGACTGGAGAGGGACAGAAACCACATTGTCGTTGCCTATTGGTGGTGGTCAGAGGGCCCGGTGGCGCCAGTGTCCGGCAGCCTCGCCTCTGTCAGTGCGCAGGGTGGCTGTGGCTACAATGTAGCTCGCCATCACCAGTATGTGAATGTGTGTGTGAATGGGTGGATTACTGAACGTGTAAAGCGCTTTGGGGTCCTTAGAGACTAAGTAAAGCGCTATACAAATACAGGCCATTTACCATTTACCAGGTCTTAAATCTTCCAGATTTTAAAGATGCTTCCATTTCCCAATTAGCTTTAAGGGAACACAGACTTCCTTTTGTAGTAGGACCTGCCCACAAGGCCACAATTACTAGCAAATGGTTGCTGACCATGTTAGTATTGTATCTGATTGGCCAGTAAACCTGTGTTATCCATTCCATTTGGATAGATAAATGCCTGATCCAAAAATGAGAGCTGCTTTATCAAAGCAGCTTGGATTGGTTGCCTCCATGCCTCACTGCACTGATGCAGGAACTCAATGTAAAGAAGTCCCAGTTAACTGCTAAGTGTATTTCACCTACACATAATAAAATTATGTTCATCTTTTAGAACACAATTTCCACAAAAAAACAAAACAACCTTTTTCACAATATTCTGATTCTTTAACCTGTACTAGGTGTATCCTAAATCACACTTGCACATGATTTGTATAATTCATATTTTTGTATAACTCTATGTTTTTGTAGAAAAAGACAACTCAATGAGTCTTATGTTTAAATAAAGGCTTTCATAATGACAATGTAACAGACAAATCATCTCTGATGAAATAGATTTATTGGTTTTGCAATTTTATAAAAGCGTGTGCAAAGATACAACATATTAAAATATTTCCATACAAACAAAACTAATGTTCCAAAAAAAAGTTACAATACAAAGGTTCTAAGACACTGAGGTTTAATAAAGATTGGTCTTCTTCATTATCCGCAGGAACTCCTGCTCGTTGACCTCACCGTCCCCGTCTCGGTCTGCCTCGTCAATCATTTCCTGAAAGGATAATAAATGTGATGTAGCAAAGGGAAGGAAGTGAGAGCATCAAACTGGAACAATTCTCACACTGACTTCAGGTAACTTTGTGTTTCATGCATGGCATTTGACTGCAAAGGTTACCCAGGAAAACCCCACCTAAAATAATACAGTTACTACTATTTTACTGTGACATGTAAGAACATACCAACATTAGAGGAACTGGGAGATATGAGAAGAGAGACAATACGTTTGGTACTTATATAGAAATGTATTTATAGTGGTTCCTCTAAGTATGTATTGTTCTTTAAATAAAAAATTCTTGGCTTCTGGACATGTGGTATTACTTTACGGTTTGTACCACTTATACAATTTACTGTAGTAGAGGTACTACAATATTTTAAATATGAGGTAGCAAATTTAAAATCAGTCAAACCAGCAAAAGGACCCCACCTGACCCCTTCAGAATGAGC